GAAGATCGGGTCTTGAGTAAACGGCTTGCCTAGAGCCATATGCAAGCCCACTTCCCTTCCGCGGTCGTACTTGGTTGGAGGCAGCTTCTGTGCCCTTTATAACCAAGAGCAACTGAGTTTAGAGGAGAAGAAGTGTTTTGTCCAAGGTCACACGATGCCTAGGGGGCATCCGTGAAATTTGGACCCAGGACCAAACTTTCAGACTCTCATCTCAGACTCTCCACCTCCAATTGTTCCACTCCCCCAACCTACTAGCTAGTTCTAGAACGGACAGATCCATGCTTCTCAAAACTGTTGCATAGACCCCTACCCAGTCCCAGACGGATTTCTTTAAGACATATTTGCACCCAAGCTTCTCGCATTCTACTCTCCTTCCCAGCCCCAGCCCCATCTCGGGGGCATTTGACTTTACCCCATCAGGTTTGAACTAGGGGAGGGGAGGGAGATGAGAAGAGAAACAAAATTGTTGGTGAAAGTCAAAAGGCTTGTTAACGTTGTAAGTTTAATATTGTTTTATTTGGGGTGGTGGCGGGGAATCTTTGCCCTTGCCACTTGGAGGACGAGCGGTGGGAAGACCCCGGGAAGTTGCGCTTTCCCTTGGATTTTGGGAAAGGGGAGCATTCCTGGGGTCCTTTTGAAAAGGCCCTCCCCTCATTTCCGGCCGCCGCTGCCAGCCTTGGCTGGGCGCCTGGATCCTGTTGCTATGACGACAGGAAGAGGCGGTGGCGGCGGCAAGCGATGCTGAAGAGAGATGGAGGCTAGTGGGGGTGGGGGTGGTGGCATTGGAATGGGGGAGGGGGCAGGGATCCGGGGCTGGGGACACGGGAGGGGGCGGGGGCAGGGGTATCCTTCATCTCTGACCTCCTCGGGGCATCTCAGCCTGACCCCTCTTCCGTTATTTTTTCCGGGCTTCCTTCGGGTGCCTCCCCAGTCTCTGTGTCTGCCTCTGTTTCTCTGGGTCTCTCTCTCTTCCTGTCTCAGTCCCTCTCCGTCTGTCTCTCTCTGGGTCTCCCTCTTCTTTTCCTGCACCTGCCTTTCTTTCCCCAGGTACCTTCTGCCATCCAGGCCCTTCTACCCTCAATTTCTTTCATTTACTATCTTGCTCCCCCGCTCCCTCTCCGCACCTTCTTCTCTCTTTAAAGCTTCCTTCTGTCTAGCAAGACCTTGCCCCTATCCCCAATTTCTCTCCCTCCCCGCTCTCCATTTCATTCCCTCTCCCCCCCCGCTCTCCCCCATCCTCTCAGTCTCTCTCTTTCTGTCTGTCTCTCCCCATCTGTCCCTCCTCCCTCCTCTCTGGATGACTCTCTCCCTCTCTCTTCTTTCCTTCTGTTTCCCAGATCCTGACCCCCCCACCCACCAACTTACCCCAGCCCTCCCCCAGCCCCTCCCCCCAGCCCCTGGGTTTCTCTCTTTGGGTCTCTGTCCCTGTCCCCTTCTCTCTCTGGATATTTCTCTGTGTGTATCTCTCCAACTTCCTTCGGCGCCCAGCCGCTGCCTCCCCCAAATTTCTCCCTCCCCCATTTCTGTTTCGCGGTCTCTGTGTCTCTCTCTTTCTGTTTCTCCTCATCTCTCTCTGTCTCTCTCCCTCCCTCTCTGGATCTCTCTCTTCTTCTCCGGCTTCCTTCTGCCACTCGACCCTGCCCCCCCTCTTTCCCTTCCCCCATCCATCTCCTCTCCGAGGCTCCCCATCCCTCAGCATCTCCCCTCCCCCTCCCTCCCTACTCCCTCCCTCTCGTCCTCCAGCTCCGCACTTTACCCAGCGACACGAGAACCAAATTGTCTCCTCACCTTTTTTTTCTTAAATATATATATATATATATATATATCTCGACCCTCACTCCCTTGGGGCCCAGGCTCAGAGCTGCCCCTCAGCCCCAGCCTGGCCTCAGCACCCCCATTCCCCATACGCCTCCTCATCTCCACCCCCCCCAACCAGGTCGGACGCCTGGGTCCCTCACTGCTGGGGGAGGGGGAAGCAGCGAGAATTGGGAGCCAAAAGGTTTTTCTGGGGGGGGTGCCAACAGAGGGGGCTCGACGTCCCCTCCTCCGTGCATCGGAGAGTTGACCTGTCGTTAACAGAGGTGAGACAGATCTTTTTATTAATCGGAGGTGGGTGGAGGTAGAATTAATGTTCTGTGACCCCCCCCCCCCCCCGAATTCTGGAGAAAAGAGCTGGTCCCCTTCCTAAGAAGAAAGGACAGTGACCCCCTCATACCCGGAAGCTTTAGAATTGGGGGTCCCCTGCTCTCTTCTCCCTGGCAGCTGCTGAGCGATGGACTAACAGTCCCTAAAACCAGACTGTCCCCCAAATTAACAAAATGAAAAGATCTTCAAATCTTTTTTTTTCTTTTTTTTGGACGGAAGGAGAATTTCCCTCCTTTCCCTCCTCTTCCCTTCCCCTCTTATCGCAGGCCGTTAGGGGACGGGGGTCACGGGCTTACCCTCATTGAAAGCAGAAACCTGTTAAGACAGGGTAGGTGGCCGTGCTGGTGGTGAAGGGGCACCAATTCAGGGAGAAGAGGCCAAGAGATCAAGAAGAAAGGAAACTCGGCATGCGGACAGAAAAGAGAGGAAGGGGCCAGCGCCCAGGCCGGGAGGCCGGGGGATGCCCCGTCCAGCGGGCTGCTGAACTGTGGCCTGAGGAAGGGCTGTGTGTGTGGGCAGACGGGAGTTGAGGTGGGGGAGGGAACACAACGTGTGGGGCACTAGGCCCAGTTGCCATGGAGACACCCCCCATAGACAACCTTTTTCCACAGCCCCTTCTCGGAGCAGCCCCAGTCTGAGGCCAGCTGGTGGGGGGCAGTGGAGACCAGGAAGCAACCAGGAGACCAAGGTCACCCTGTACTGGTACCTAGGTTCTGGTTTTTGTTTTGTTTTTTTAAATCCCCCCTTCGTCTAAGGTTTCCAGACTCTTAACTCTAGTGGGTTTGGGGGAAGAAGTTGAAGCAGCAGTGGTGGAAGCAAGTAAGGAGTACATCCCCCGGAGGACAGTTGGGGTCGGGGGAGACAGGCAGGGCTGGGGCATGGTGGTCGGTGGAGAATGTGGAAGAGAGAAATGAAGGAGCCACGGGGCAGCGGGTGCAGGCTGGAAAAGTATTCCTAATTGAAAAGAGAGTTGCAGTCTTGTGGGTCACATTTTTCGGAGGGACACAGTCTACTGGGGGGCTCTTTCTGCATGTGGAAGAAGATGAGGGGCTACAGTGTGTGTTCCTGTACAGGTGAAATCCTAGAGGGGAGTACTGGGGGGCGTTCCCAAGAAGGGAAGCCTGTGGGGGCCTGCGGAGGGGATTTTCCTGGGCAGAGGAGAACTAGGAGCTCTACTGGTGGAGCAGGAGGAAGTGAGTCAAGGGAATTCTATATGATGGGAGAGAAGTTGGGGAGAATGCTTCCTGGTACGTTGAAGAGAGAGTGGGGTTCAATGTGAGTTGAGGGGGATCTCGAGTTGGGGCAAACTGTGGGAAGACCCTGTGTGATGATGAAGGGCTACCAGGAGGGGATTTGGAGGCAGTGGGAGCTGCTGTGAGTGCAGAGGGGCGGGTGGGTGGATGCTGGGCAGAGTGGGGGTACACTGTGCTCCCTGCTATGGGAACACAGGGCAGAGATTGCAATGCTCCTGAACGGAGAGATATTTGGGGTCTAGAGGAAGCCATTCTTGTGAGTAGAAAATGCCGTGAAACTCATGGAGGAAATTTTTCTTAATGGAGGAGAAAACGACGGTTATGACATGAGTTCGTTTAAGTTGTAGGGGGGAGGGTGGCGGGCGGTGGGGGGAAGATTTGGAAGACTCTTCTAAAGCAAAAGAGAGAGTGGGGGTTTTCCTGGAGTAAAGGCATAGTATGGGGTGGGGGGTGAGTGGCTTGTGGGGAAACAGTGGGGGCAGTGAGAGGGAATGGGTTGGAGATGGGGGGCCCTCTTGCAAACCAGTAGGTCTAATGTTGGGTGCATCAGCATTCCCCAGGGAGCTTTTATAAACTTAGATACCCAGGCCACACTGCAGACCAATCATGTCGGACTTTCTCAGGTGGGACTCAAACATCCGAATTTTTAAGGTCCTCGGGTGATTTCGAGGTGTGCTGGAGGCTGCTGGAGTCAGGAAGGGGGCTTCCAGTGACAGGAGACTGACTGAGGGTGGCTGGTTATTCTGAGTTGCACAAACTGTGAGGGTCAACTGGGATTTTCTTTTTCTTTTTCTTCTTCTCCTTTAAATTTTTCCTTTTTAGTTGAAGACAGATTGAGAGATGTATTTTTCCTAAGGAGAGGAAATTGTGGGGGACCATTTGGAGTGATGGCATGACAAAAGCCAGACCGGAGGGGGCTTGTGGAGGTTATTCCCACGGAAGTAGTGCTGCTCGGGCTTCTTAAGTTGTGGAGACGCTTAGGGAAAAGTTGGGGAGACAGGGAAGGGTTCTAGCAGGTGGAGAGGTGGGGCTGCAGGGGAAGAGTGGGGAGAACTGGTGGGAACCGAATGGTGATGGGGCGGGGGTCTCTAAGGAAGGAGGAACGCGACAGGGGCTCCTGGGGAGGAGGAGAGGTGGGGCTTGGCATCATGGGGGGCTGGTGGCTTCCCATGCGATGAGGACCGTGGAGCCCACTGGGGCGGAGCCAACGGGGGCTAGGGGCGAGGGCTGCAAGTGTGAGCGGTGGTGGGGATTCCTCTGAGTGGGGTTAGTGGGATGGTGGGATGACTTTCTTGGGCAGAAGACAAGAGTGGAGAGAGTTTTTTTGGTTTTTTTTTTTTTTTTTTTTTTTTTTTTTGAGAAAGGGGAGCAGTGGAGACCCAAGTGGAAGGAGTTTCTGGAGCTGAGGCAGGGATTTTAGGGGGGGCGGGGACTGGGGGAGGTACCTGTGCCTTCTCCTCTAATCCGAGATCTCGCTCCTTGCCCTCCACCAGCCGCCGACCATGGCCGCGCTCTGACCCCCTCCCCGGCCGCAGCCTCCTCCTCGCCGCCCCCTCCCCAGCCCCACCGGCCCCGGGGCCCCCGCTTCTGCCTGCGCTGTGACCCCCCCCAGCCGCCGGCACGGCCCCGCCCCCGCTGCCCCGGTGGTGGCCCACGGCCCCCCGGCTGCCCGTGGTCAAACTGGAGTCACTGAAGCGCTGGAACGAAGAGCGGGGCCTCTGGTGCGAGAAGGGGGTGCAGGTGCTGCTGACGACGGTGGGCGCCTTCGCCGCCTTCGGCCTCATGACCATCGCCATCAGCACCGACTACTGGCTCTACACGCGCGCCCTCATCTGCAACACCACCAACCTCACGGCCGGCGACGACGGGACCCCCCACCGCGGGGGCGGGGGCGCCTCGGAGAAGAAGGATCCCGGCGGCCTCACACACTCGGGCCTCTGGAGGATCTGCTGCCTGGAAGGTAGGGTGCGGGCGGCCCTCCCCGCAGCCCCCGCCGCTCCCCTCCGAGAGACCCTGGGCCTCCTGGGGTTGCCTCTCCCTGATCCTGGGGCCCCCATGGGCACCCCTCGTCCTCTGCCAGAGGCGCTTCTGCGGCTTCCCACTCGCGCCCCTGACCTCCTCTCCCTTCCTTCCCACTCCTCCCTGCGTCCTGGCACCCTGCGGAATTCCTCTGCCTGGTCCCTCGGCAGCCCCTCCGCCTTTACACTGAACCCCCTTATCCTATCTTCCCCTCGGTCGTGTCTCCTGCCCTGCCCCGTCACACCCCTCCCTCTTCCCCTCTCTCAAGCACCTGGGCTCCTCCTGTTTCATTTCTTCCACACTCTGCCCTGTGCCTTTTCTCTTTTTTTTTTTTTTTTTTTTTTTGACAAGGTCTCACTCTGTCGCCCAGGCTGGAGTACAGTGTATAATCACAGCTCACTGCAGCCTCCACCGCCTGGGCTCAAGCCATCCTCCCACCTCTGCCTCCTGAGTAGCTGGTACCACAGGCATGAGCCACTGTGCCCAGCTAATTTTTTTTCATTATTTGTAGAGATGGGGTCCCCCTTGTTGTTCAGGCTGGTCTCAAGCTCCTGAGCTCAAGAGATCCTCCTGCCTCAGCCTCCAAAGTGCTGGGATGACAGGCGTGAGCCTCTGCACTCAGCAGCCTCTTTCTCCCTCTTTCCCCTCAGTTCATCTTGACCCTGCTTCTCCTCTCCACCTGCCCCTTCGTTTCGTCTCCCTCAGGCCACCTGGCATCTTCTCTCTCCCGACATTTCCCCCAGGTCATCTGAATTCCCCTGCCTCTCCCGCCCCCACTCATGGCCCAGGTTTCCAGTCTCCATCTCTTTCCCCTTCTCTTTGGCTGCTGCTCCCCTGAAACTTCTGCCTTAACTCGCCCTCACTCATGACCTTCTCTCTTTTCTGCCTTGTGCTTCTCCTCCTGATCTTTCCCCATCAGTGCCCCCTCCCACGTCTGTCCCACCAGGATGCCCTCCAACCTCCCATCCTGGTCCTTTCCTCCTTTTTCCTTTAGTGGGCTCCACTTCCTCTTCCTCCACTCATGCCTTCTTTGACGTCTTCCTGACTCGACACCTCATGCCTTCACATTAAGGCTGCTCGCTCCTGCCCCTGCTACCTCCTCAGATCTTTGTCTTGGTTCTTTTCCTCTGTCCTGTTCTCCCTCTCACAGCTTCTCTCCTAGCTCGACTCCCTGGCTCTCGACTCCCCCACTTCTCCAAGACTCCTGCCCTCTGCTGCGCCGACCCCTTCTCTCTCCCACTTTTAGCATCAGTATTTCTTTCCTGAGTATCACCGAGCTGTGGGGCTGGGAAGCAGGAGTCCTGGGTGCCAGTCCTGCTGCGTATCTGCCCCGCCGTGTGACCATTATCTTCCCCCCTGCACCGCAGCCTCACAGCCCTTGTCTGCAACGTGAAGGAGCGGAACCAGCCGTTCTGATGCCCCCTTCCGCCAAAAGATTAAAATCTCTTGCTTCTCTTTTTCATCCCCCTCTATTTCTTCTGCCCCTTCTTCCTCTGTTTTGCTGAGTGCTCACGACAAGCCAGGAACGTTATCTTGTTTAATCCTATGAGGTGGGTACCACCTCCCTGTTGGGGATGGGTAAACTGAGGCTCAGAGAGGTGAAGTCACTTGCCCAAGGTCACCCAGCTGAGAAAGGGGCAGAGCCAAGCGCAGAACTCGAATCCCATGGATAGGATGCGCAGATGCGCTCTGTCTAGTGTACGAAGTGTTTAAAACTGAAAGCAAAATCTGAATCCATTGCCAACAGTTAAAAATAGGGAGGCTTCCCATTGTAGTTCTGATTTCCGGCTTCTTCTGAGCTAGCGGAAGATCTAACACAAGCCTGTGTTCTACCCTGACCACGATGGGCCGGATCTGAGCGGCAGCTGGCGGGGGGTCTCCATTTCCCCACAGTCACCTTCATCCGCCCCGTATCGCCTCCCATTCCTCCCACGGCTTTCATGATGTTCTTTTCCTCTCTTGTGGAAGTTTGAGTTCATGTCCATTCACCGGTCTGACCAAGTACCAGGCATAGAGCCAAGTGTGAGGGCTCACATCATGAAACCCCTAGGACAGCACGTGGCATCTAGTAGGGACGTCATTCATTCATTCATTCATTCAACGTCCCATTTTTATTGAGTTTATATTATGTGCCAGGCATTGTTCTGGATTCTGAGGCTGCAGCAGTGGAAAACAGACAAAACCTCCTCTCGTTATATATCTCATATTCTAAGGTAGAGACAGATAATGATGGAGGTAAATAAAGTCAACATTTAGGGTGTTAGATAGAACTGAGTGCTAAGGAGGACAAGGAGTTGGGGGGTGGTGGGAGGTGTCAGGGATCCCCGTGGGAAGTAGATAAGGAATCTAGGAAAAGCTTCCCCCAGCAGGTGACATTTGAGTGCAGGTCTGAAGGAAGTAAGAGATGGAGGAAAGTGCTTCAGCCTGTAGGAAGCACTGAGGTGAGAGTGTGGCTGTGTGTTGATCAAGCCAGTAGGAGGTCAGCGTGGCCGGGGCAGAGTGGGTGGCGGGGAACAGGGCAGAGTGAGTGGCGGGGAATGTAGTAGAAGGAGGTGCAGTCGTAGGGATATCGGGGTCCCCATCTCACAGGTTCTGGTTTTATTTAAAAATTATTATTTTATTTATTTACTTATTTATTTTTTATTTATTTATTTTTTGAGATGGAGTCTCCCTCTGTCGCCCAGGCTGGAGTGCAGTGGCGCGATCTCACTGCAAGCTCCGCCTCCCGGTTTCATGCCATTCTCCTGCCTCAGCCTCCGGAGTAGCTGGGACTACAGGCGCCCACCACTACACCCAGCAAATTTTTTTGTATGTTTTAGTAGATACGGGGGGTTTCACCATGTTAGCCAGGATGGTCTCGATCTCCTCACCTGATCCGCCCACTTCGGCCTCCCAAAGTGCTGGGATTACAGGCGTGAGCCACCGCACCCGGCCTTATTTATTTATTTATTGAAACAGAGTCTTGCTTTGTCACCCAAGCTGTACTGCAGTGGTGTGATCTCGGCTTACTGCAACTTTGGCCTCCTGGGTTCAAGCGATTCTCATACCTCAGACTCCCGAGTATCTGGAATCACAGGTGTGTGCCACCACGCCTGGCTAATTTTTGTATTTTTAGTAGAGACGGGGTTTTACCATGTTGGCCAGGTTGGTCTCGAACTTCTGACCTCAAGTGATTGGCCTGCCTAGGCCTCCCAAAGTGCTGGGATTAGAGATGTGAGCCACCATGTCTATGTCTGGCCAGGTTCTGTTTTGTTTTATTTTTTAAGCAGGGTTTTGCTCTGTCACCCAGGCTGGCATGCAGTGGTAAGACCATAGCTCACTGAAACCTTGAACTCCTGAACCCAAGCTGTCCTCTTGGCCTCACCCTCCCAAATAGCTAGAACTACAGGCACATGCCACCATTTTTGTAGACACAGGGTCTCACTATATTGCCAAGGCTGGTCTCAAACTCCTGAGCTCAAGCAGTCCTCCTGCCTCAGCCTCCCGATGTGTTGGGATTACAGGTGTGAGCCACTGCACCCGGCCTCATAGCTTCTTATACATCCCAGAAAGCACTTCGCTTTAGATTCGGAGACGGGAGCCGTTGAAGGTTCTTGAGCAGAGGAGTCCCATGAGCTGACTTACATTTCTGCAGTATGGCTCTTGCTGCTGTGTTGACAAGTGACCAAAGGGAAGGCAAATGAGACAACAAGAAGCTCATCTAGGGTGAGGGCCGTAGCGTTTGGGAAGTTGTGTGAATTCTTAGTATATTCTGGAGCTACCGTGGGCAGGAATTGCTGATGGAGCAGTTGTAGGATATGAGAGAGAAGAGCCAGGGGCGCCTCCAAAGCAGGGTTTTTCCACCGCAGCACGGTTGATATTTTGGGGTGGATAATTCTGTGTGGAGGGGGCCGTCCTGTGCATTGTAGGATGCTGAGCAACAGCCTTGATCTCTCCCACTAGATGCCAGCAGCACCCTTCCCAGTCGTGACAACCAAAATTGTAAATTGTGTCTAAACATTGTCGACTGTCTCCTGGGGGATAAAAATCGCCCTGAGTTGAGAATCACCGCTCTAACGCTTTGGCCTGAGCTCCTGAGAATAGGGGAGCCATTTCTAAAATGAAACAGCAGCTATTTTATTTATTTTCTCTTATTAAATTTATTATGAAGGAGAGGGATCAGGGGCTCAGTTCTGGGCATGTTAAATTTACGGTGCCCATTCACAGATAACATCTGGACAGAGGCCAGCACAGTGAAGGTCCTATAAAGTGCCATATAGGAAAGATTGCAGGCTTTGTGGAACAGTCTCTACCACAACTACTTGTGAAAACGACCAAGACAGTCTGTGAGTGTGGCTGTGTTCCAATGAGACTTCATTTATGGACACTAAAATTTGAATTTCGCCAGGGGCAGTGGCTCACGCCCGTAATCCCAGCACTTTGGGAGGCCAAAGCAGGCGGATCACCTGAGGTCAGGAGTTCGAAACCAGCCTGGCCAACATGGTGAAAACCTGTCTCTACTAAAAATACAAAAAATTAGCCAGGCGTGGTGGCAGGTGCCTGTAATCCCAGCTACTCAGGAGGCTGAGGCAGGAGAATCGCTTGAACCTGGGAGGCGGAGGTTGCAGTGAGCCGAGATCACGTCACCATACTCCAGCCTGGGCAACAGAGAGAGATTCTAAGAAAAAAAAAAGTGTTTTTTTGGAATTCCATGTCATTTTCACATGCCACAAAAATCATCTTCTTCTCTGATATTTTCTCAATCATTAAAAACACATAAAACCCGTTCTTAGCTGGATTTGGCCTGTGAGCCGTAGTTTGCTGACCACTGATTTAAATTGTTAAAGATACGGTATATGAGGCCAGAGACTGGGCTGGAGATATCAGTTTGAGGGGCATCATCATATAGATGAATTAGATGGACGGAGTCAGTTAGAGAAGAGACAGCTGGGCGCAGTGGCG